GCTTTCCTGCAGAGCTACTGGATTCTGTAGAAAGCATACCAGATATAGTATGCGCCTAAATTAAAAAAAAAAAAAAAAAAAAAGAAAGTAAGTAGACAGGTTTTGCCTCCTATGGGGCTAGCTGGACACCAGAGGGAAAACAGACAAACTGATTGTGGAAAACATATGACCCTGGCTGGGATTCCTAAGCTAAAGGAGGTTTAGGTGCAGCAGAATAACTTCTATGGCTACAGAAATGGACATGTTGCTTATTTAGAAGGGCTGGACCTAAGAAAACATCACATGTCCCTTTTAAGCCAGGATGTATAAGAAATTGGAATTTCCAGGGATATTCACTTACGTCTTTGAAGTAGAAGGCAAAAAACATGGGTCTGAGCTATTAATGAGTAGGTATGGACTCCCTATATGATATTTTCAAAATCCCCCTTCTTACAGACTCTTCCTTCTGCTAATGTCTCTGGATACTGACATAACTTTAGTTTCCCTGGCCCACATTTCAGCATACACAGGACCAGTACTATAGTCTTTGGTCTGAAATGGTCAAGACTCAGATGACTGACATTTCTTTCACTGCTCTTAGATTCTGGGATCTTTCTGTGTTGTATGCTGATGTGAGACCACTTAGTTAAGCATACCTTTTAGTGTCATTTTTTGGTAGATAACACTCCCTGATAACGAGAGCATGTCTCAGAGTAAAATCAGCCAAACTGAGGAGTATTTACAAGTAATCCTGCCTCATCAAATGAGTACACATACAGGTAACAGTTATCTGCTCTTCAGGCTCTAGAACACCAACCTTTCCATCTTTTTGTTCAGCAAACTGATCTTTGCTGCAAGGATTCTCTCGAAGCTACAGTTCCAGAGGCAGGATTATGCAGCCCCTTGCTGTCTATAGGAGGCAACCTGAATTCATCAGGATTCTCAATAGTCATCACAGAGGTTCCAGGTTCCACCTGGGGAATTCCCAGTAGCTGGCTTCTTATATTTCGTGCAAACAAGGGCAGAGAGTGTCTGCAAAATCATATACTTTGACTATCATTAATTATAACAGTGAAAACTCATTTCTAACCATTTACATGTGATTTCAATTTGTCATTTTCACACTTGTGATTTTCACTAATATAATTCTCTTGCAACATTTGCTGAAAAAGTGGTAGGTGAGAGGGCTGCAGGAGGCTGCTGCAGCGCTGTGGCTCTCAACGCGAACAGACTCTGACCACTCTTGTGTATCTCCTCCGTCATTGAAAGGCTGCTGCCAGGCACGGTGGCTCACACCTGTAATCCCAGCACTTTGGGAGACCAAGGCGGGTGGATCACGAGGTCAAGAGATCGAGACAATCCTGGTCAACATGGTGAAACCCCCGTCTCTACTAAAAATACAAAAAAAAAAAAATTAACTGGGCATGGTGGTGCGTGCCTGTAATCCCAGCTACTCAGGAGGCTGAGGCAGGAGAATTGCCTGAACCCAGGAGGTGGAGGTTGCGGTGAGCCGAGATCGCGCCATTGCACGCCAGCCTGGGTAACAAGAGAGAAACTTCGTCTCAAAAAAAAAAAAAAAAAAAAAAAGAAAGAAAAAGAAAGGCTGCAGAGTTCAGGCTACACAAACCCAATCCTGACACTGTCTATTCTGAAATGTTAGTGTACGCATACATAAAAATACACTAGAGACAATTTAAAATCTTCTCTCTCACACAACATTATTCCAGAACTATGAATGCTAGTGTTCTGATATATAGAGACTAAAAATATCATATGTATGGGGTTGTAATGAAGAATGAGTCTCATAATATACCTAGCTAATAAGTTTAAAGCCTAGACCTCAGTAAAATGCCCAATAAGCAGAAATATAATTATTGCCATTGTTAATAATCGCCTGTCCAGGATTTGTATTTCTGCCTGATGCACGCATTTCCCATGCTTTATGTCGACTCTGTTGATGGATACGCCAGATCAAGGTAAGATGAAAATCATTTTATTACAAATG